AACCAACCACTCCTTGAAGATACCCTCAGGAGTTGTAATGTTCTCCCTTGTAGTCTATCAATTTTTAACCACCCTAATTCTCCTTTCTTGTGTGAAAAAAGCCAAGCTCTAAAACTACAAACCTTTCTTTAATCACTTGTGAAAATGGAAGATTTGGGGTAACCAGCTTCTTTACCATTTAAAGAGTCAAGGCTCTCCTTAGTCTTTTCATAATAAAATTCCATTCCAAATATGATATAAAGGACACATTGCCCCATGGATCATGAATAATAAAAAGAATTCACAAAGTATAATGAAATTTTGAGATGCATAAAGGTACTGGAGCAAAGAAAGCTTAGGTAAGAAATGTTGCAAAGTGAGGCTAGCAAAGATACTTCAGTTGGTAAAGTTCTTGCAAGTAAGTTCAGTTCAAAGTCACACATAAAAAGTCATGCATAGTGGCCAGGGAAACAGAACTGAATGGATACCTGAAGCTTACTAGCTAGCTAGTCTAACCTACTTAGCAAGTTTGACACAAAAGCATATGTGCACACACACGTGCACGCACGTACACACGCACACACACACTTAAATGTTACAGAAGTCTATTAGCTAAAAATAAAAAATACTAAATTATATAATAAAACAAAGAAATTTTCATGGTTTACTCTCACCCATCCCACTAAAAATGGAGAATTTTTCAGTAAATGTTTTTAATAACTGGAAAACTCGTTTCTTCACAACAAAAACAATTTCTTTAAAAACACACATAATTAAAATTTTTTTTTAATTCTACAGGAAAGAAAAGTCTAAAGAGTCGTATTTTCTGCCACTTGTATCCCTTAGTTAAAGCTTTACAATTTTCAGGGAACTAGTATCCCTTGTGGTAACATGGGGCTGTAATACAATTAAGATTTACTTCTACAGGGAAACATTAAGTTTGACTCAAACAAAACTACCCACGGGGCATGGTAGGGCATACCTATAATAAAAACATCAGGCTAAAAGATCAGGAGTTCAATGTCAAAATGAATTTAAAGAAAAACAGAGAGAGAGAGAGGATGGGAAAGAGAGAGAAAGAAGGAGAGAAAAAAGAGGAGGGAAAGAACAAACATGAACTATCTATCTAAATAGGTACTACCATGGGTCAACTAGTTATCAGAACTCATGATAAATCACCCAGGGATGTAGTTCAGTGACAAAACCAAGTATACCTGCTCTAACAGATATGCACCAAGTATACACAAGGCCCTAAATTCAAACACTATTATGTCTTCCAGGTGAAATCCCTGATTTTTTTTTGATGTGTATGAGTATATTGCCTGCATGTATGTAAGTGCACATGTGTCGTGCAATGCCCACAGAGGTGGGAAGAGAGCGTCAGATCCCCTGTGCCATGTGGGTGCTAGAAACCAAACGCAGGTCCTCTGCCATCTCTCCGGCCCATGACTTCATGCCTTTGTGAGGGTATATGAAGGGCACAGAATAAGGCAGAAGGATAAATCTAAAACCTCTAACGAGGTTCTTACATACTGACAAAATATCTACACACATTAGTTTACTCTACCCTTGTGCCCCATCCACAAAAAACACATATACCTCAGCCATAATTGCTTGAATCAAGCATCTCTGCTGATCCCCTTGCTTCAGTCACTTCAGATACTTCATTAAAAGTATCTCAGACATTTGTCATGGATTTTTAGTTTTTGTTTTTGAGACAGACTCTCAAGGCTGGTCAGACTCAAGGCAACCCTCCCAAGTACAGGATCAATAGGAGGAGTCACCACATCCAGATTCTAAGGCTTTAAGTTGTACTTAAGTCTCACTTGTATACCATATTTATAAGAATAAGCTAAGGACTTATCTTCTACTCTTGAATTGCCTGGCACTCTAAAATCATTATTATTCATGTTTTCAAATTTAAACACAATACAAACATCAAAATGTAATATTGCAATTATTGTTATGAGGGTTAAAAGTTTTCTAATAATATTACAAAATAACATCTAAATATCAATTTTTGACTGAGTTACCTGCTCTTGGTGAATAATTAACCACATCAAGCTGAAATATACTGACGACTCAGTGTTTAAAAATCTTGCAATTTGTCATTTAAAAACAGATCTTTGTGTAATGTTCATTTTATAATTCATAATTGTATCACTTTTTTCAAAGCAAGCTAAAAGAGAACATCATTTCAAAGGACTGCCTAACCACCTCCAAAGTACATTTTTAACTCCCAATCTAAAGATGAATTCAGAAGCAAAAACCATTTTACAAATGTCTAAGTGCCATGAATATGTTTAAGAAACATTTGATTACTTCTAAACTGTAACAACAAAGCCAGACATGGTGGCATATACCTGTAATCCTGGTACCCAGGATGCTGAGACCAGATAATTTTGGCAAGTTCCAAGGCCAGCCTGGGCTACATAGTGAACACCAGGCTAGCTGGGTTACACAGTAAATATCAGGCAAGCTGGGTTACATAGAAAAACCCTGCCTCAGAAAACAGAAGCAAACAAAAAGTATTAAAATTCTAAATAAAAAAAAAATAAAGCCAGGCATGGTAACACAAGCCTTTAGTCCCTACACTCAGGAGGCAGAGACAGGCCAATCTTTGCTACTCTTTTACATTTCACATTTCTCTACACAGAGAATTCCAGGTTAGCTGGGGCTACAGGGTAACCCAGTCTTAAAAAAAATAGACAGCATCTTCCTAGAGACCAGAGATTCAGCAATTACTAGGACCCAGTAAAAGAAATAAACCATGTTCATGTCTTTAAACAAGCATTCCTAGGCACCTATGTTGATCTTTGTGGCTCAAACTGTTCACATGGAATTTGACCGTAACAATTTAATCTCCATAATTAAAGACCTTTAGTTAGGTCTTAAGTTTCTTCTATTCTCTTTACTAGCACTTTGAACTAGCACGTTGTATTCATTCTACACAGTTGCTATCAAAAGAAAAGGGGGTAACGAATTTGAAATTAGCTGTACTTTTACTAAAGTACATTTTAAATTGCGATAGTCCTTACTCTTCCTTCTCCAACCTGTTTTATAAAACTAGCATCTAATAATAATCTCACTGCAAAACAAGTTCCAGCAAGCATAGGCAACTGATCAGTCTCTCCTCATGATCAAGTTTAGATGAAACCCTAAGAACAGAGAAAACCAAACAAGCAATTTACCTGTTTCTCTGTTAAGTCTTGAGCTCTAGAATCCTTGGGGAGGCAAAGGAAAAGAAAAAAAAAAAGACTTAAAGCAGTAGTAATTGGGAACTAAGTCTCAGATGAAATTGTTTTAAAAACTCTGCTACACCTAAGGTATTCTAATACTTAGACGTCATTTAAGTCTCCCAGCAGCAAAAAAGGCAAAAACTTCATCAAATTATTTAAAGCAAACTGCTCATGTCATCACCAGTCTGATAAGTTTTCCCATCTGTTTGGAGGAACCCAAGTTACTTATTTCAAACAGCATTTAGATGAAATTGGGTTACGTTCCACAACGCAGTTGTGTCTCATAAAGTGTTAAATGACTTTTGTCAATCGAAAATCTGCATCTACTGTTGCTTCACCTTGGCGGGTCTTGAGTGGGTTGCTCAGTGAACCAAAAGCACGCTCCATAGGAAACTCCCTGGAACCCCATTCCACCCTTGAGAGCGTAGGTGAAAACATGAAATGTAAAAGCCCAGCAAAGACCCTGTCTTTTCTCCCGCACCGCCAGGCGGCCACCGGCGAGGTTTCTAGCTCACCAGTGTCAAGGCTCTGCAAAGGCGGGTGCGGTCTGCGGCGCGCGGCTTTGCCCCTTCCGAGGCTGTCACAGGAAAACCTAGCCTAGCTTTAACCGCCCCAAGCGAGAGCGCCAGGTCTCCCGGCGCTGGGGCTTCCGGAGCCCCGGCCACCGCCTGGCCAAACTTCGGGAGGGGCTGACGCCCGGGCCCAGAATGCCGAGCCGCCCCCGCCCCCGCCCCCACCCCGTCCGGGCCGCGGTTTTGTACAGCTGCAGATGCACCCACCGTCGGCCCCAAAACGCCACCCCGCCAGCCTGGCTAGACCCCCCCCACTCCGAAAGGGACAAAGGAACCAGAGAGGAACTCGCGGCACGGGATGCCCGGAGTGCCCACGGCCCGAGCTCGGAACGTGGGACTGAGGGAGCTCAGTCACCCCGAAAGCTGCGAATCCGCAGCCCCCCAACTCCGGACGAGTAACGCTCACCGCTGCGGGGCCCTAGAAGGGGAGGCTCGCAGGGAGGAGGCTCCCCTGGGATGGCAGCGACGCCGGGCTCCGGAGCCCTGCGGCGTCCGGTCGGACCCCAACTTCTCTCGGTCGCGGTCACCAGCGGCAACTGAGAGGGAACCTCGGCGAAGGGAACCCCGTGTAAGCTGCCGCGGGGTCTCGGCCCGCAGCGGGGCGGGAACTCCGTACCCTCGGCCCGCGGGCCAGGGCCGGTTCGCTTCCTCCAGTACGGCTGCCGCTCTCCGCGGCCGCCAAGTCGAACACGGCTGGCTGGCGCTCTGGCTCCCGCTACCACCGCTGCCCTGTAGCGAGCACGTCGCAGGCCAATGTTGTCATCGGCCGCGACGCCGCTTTGCTGGGCACCCGGAGCCTCCACGATTCTTCACATTCCAGGGCCCGCCCCTCGAAGGCCCGCCCCTAGGGCCCCGCCCCCTGTTGTGTTTGTCCCGCCTCTTCCTGTCATGTGACGTCGCGCTGAGGCCGCCTGGCGTCGCTTTCCCTTTGGGGCTGGGAGCCACTGCCGACGTCTCAACGAGGTTTATCACCTTCGCGCGCCCGGGGTCTACCTTGGGAAGCGCCACGGCGGAGGGCCTGCTGGCGCCCTGAGGGAGGCCTTCTGGAAGGTCCCAGCCGGCCTGCCTCACTCGAGAACAACGCCCCGAGAGGTTCCGTGCAGGACCCTCCTGGCGACCTCCGTCTGGTCCAGGTTCCAGCCAGACCAGTAGCGGAGGCTTGTAAAGCGTTCAGGAACTGCTGCTTCCTATTTCTAATAGAATGTCCGTTGCGGTGTTTAATTTACTGTTTTCCTCATTAGGGGTTTTTGTTTATGAGGAAACGTGGATTGCAGACTGATTTTTCTTAGTCATCTTCAGTATTCTCTTGACAGTTTAGTCATTAAGTTTTGCAGTGAGATTGGTGGCAATTTAAACAAATACATGGGAATTTGACAGTACCTCACAATTTGGAAATAAAGCCTAATTCTTGATTTTTTAATTCTTGATTTTTATTTTTTTATTTTTTTTATTTTTATTTTTTGGTCTTTTTGAGAAAGGGTCTCCCTACAGCCCAGCTGGCCTGGATCTCGGTATGTAGACCAGGCTGGCCTAAAGCTCACAGAGATCCACCTGCCTCTGCCTCCCAAATTCTGGGATTAAAGGCATGCACTTGATTTTTTTTTTTTAAGTGCTTCAGCTTACACTTAATCTTTTGTTTTTTTAACCATGACCCCCACGAACTAAAGGGTAAATTGAATGCCCGTCATCAGAAGAAAGCAGTTCCAATGTAGAAGAGTAGAAGAGAAAGATCACAATCCCTGCCCAACATGCAAATCAAGTTTTCTATGTAAATTCTTACTGTTTTCCTTTCTAATACAGAACTGAGTTTTAGATATACATACAATTTTCATTTTCTTGACATAGTCAGATGACATTCTGATCATCTGGCTACTTCAAATGAATAAGCCACGACATTGGCCCGTTATTGATACATTTATAGCAACTGTGCATAGTTGTACAAGTCTGTGTACAAGTCTGTAAAGATTACAGACTTGAAAACTCACCATTATGTTACCCAGGAAAAAACACTCCCCAGGCCACTGACCTTTAAGACATGTCTTGAATTCAGGTATGTTAACATTTGAAAAATAAATCTTTTTTTTTTTTAACAAATAGGTTGTACTAGAATGCAGCTGGGCATGGTGGCACATGCCTTTAGTCCCAATATTTCAAAAGCAGAGGTAGGCAGATCTCTGTTGAGTTCAAGGCTAGCCTGTCTACATAGCAAGTTCCAAGTCAGTCAGGGCTATGTAGTGAGGCTCTGACTCTAAAAGAACCAAAGTATTTTGTGAAGTCTTTGTACCAGTTACCAGAAAGGGTAAAAGTGTGTCCCCTGTTGTGATCTAAACTGTAGCTCTTACTGTAAGCTGCAGTCAATAGTTTTGAAGAATGTTCCTACAACATTAGAGAACATGCAAAATATACCATCTCAACTGTTTCCCTGGTGCTTTGCATTTTCCCTGAGAATTGAGATCAAACGTTACAGCAAAATGAGACAAATTGCCTTGCTTAATTCTGTCCTGACTCAGCTTCAATTTCTTCCATTGGCCTTTGAAAACTTGGCCATTTGTTTCCATGGAAAGTAGTGTGAAACAGATAGACCTACATTATAGACATAGTCAGATATTTGTCTAGATAAATTACTCTCTGCATTTCCAGTTCTGATAAAAGTAGAGAATTGGCACTTGGGAGGCAGAGGCAAGTGGATCTTTGTGAGAGTTCAAGGCCAGCCTGGTCTACATAGTGAGTTCCAGGACAGCTGGGGCTATAAGGAGACCCTGTCTGAAAAAGACCAAAAAAAAAAAAGTAGGGAGTTGGGCTGCATGTCTCTTAAGGAGTGCTATTCAACCTTTCTTATTCAGTGGATGATACTCCCATAGGAAAGAAGCCACTGGTAAACCAAGATTATGCAGATTCTTGACAGATTACTTGTAACTCCTTTTAACTTTAAAAAAAAAAAAAAGGAAAAAAAAACTACCTTTTGGGAAATGGAGAGATGGTGCAGCACTTGCTATTCTTGCAGAGGACCCAGGTTCAGTTCCCAACATGGCAACTTACAACTGTCTGCAACTCTAGTTCCAGGGAATCTGATGCCCTCCTTTGACCTCCCTGGGTACCAGGCATGCAAGCGATACACTTATATGCAGGCAAAACACTCATACACATTAAATAAATATATATCTTTTAAATTTTTTAATTATTTATTTAATAACCATATAATTAGAAGAAGCATTTCATTACAATAGCGTTGACATATTCAATAACAGTTTCCAGAACTAAGATGCATCTCTTTCAAAATTGGCTGTAAATTTTTAGGTTTACAGTTGAATTGATACAGTTATACAATATTGTACTCTGTATAACCCCTATAAGACATAAAATTAAATGAGGTTTTAAACTTTAAAAAAGATCTCCATTTCATTATTAAAATACAGTTTCATACAGAAAAATTCATTTTAATACAATTGACACTACAATGCACATGTGTTTCTAATCTCTATATATCTGATTGTTACTAGTCACGGTCACTTTCTGAGCTCCTTGGCATCTGACCATGGATATAAAGTCATCAGGTGGATTTCAATAGTAACGACATTGAAATGTCTTTTAATTTTTTAAAAATCATACTTGGGAGGTGGAGGCAGGAGAGTCCAAACTGCATATGAGAGTTCCAACCGCATAGTTTGAGACCCTGCTCAAAACAAGAGCCAGTGAGGTAATTCAGTGGATAGAGGTACTTGCTGTCAAGCCTGATGGTCTGAGTTTGATTCCAAGGGCACACATGGTGGAAGGAGAGAACTAATTTCTGCAAGCTGTCCTCTGACCAGTGTGCGCACACGTACACACACACACACACACACACACACACACACACAAAATGTGATTTTTAAAATCTTATTAGAGAGATGGTGTGGTTAAGAGTGATTGCTGCTCTTCCAAGGACCCAGATTCTTCCAGCACCCACATTGGGTGGCTCATAATCACCTGTAACTCCAGTTCTAGGGAGTTCAATACCCTCTTCTGGCCTCTCTGGGCACCTGCAGTCACATGCACATACCCACACACAGACACTCATACATTACACATAACTAAAAATAAAATATTTTTTAAATCTTTAAAAATTGGATGGATTTGAAAGTAAAGATATATTGGAAAACAAATGCAAATAAATCTTTCACCTCTATATTTTGATGTTAATACTTAATGGTCATCAATAACTAATGATTGATATATGCCACAGCTGACTGCAACAAAGTATTAATGTGTAGCAAAACCTGGAGGCACAGATCTCTTAGTGACGCAAAAGGCTAAGATAGGAGGATTGAAAGTTCAAGGCTAAGCCTGTGTTAGAGTGAATTCAAGTTCAGCCTAAGGAACTCAGTGAGACCCTGTCAAATGAAAAGTAAAAACAGTGCCTGGGATGTATTTCAGTGGTAGAGCCCTTGCCCAGCGTGTGCTGTATCCTGAGTTCAACCCCCAGTACTGAAAAATAAACACACTAGAGCTGAAAAATCTGACTTTCAGATCTTTTTAGATCTAATATTACATGATTACAAGTAAATTTCACCCTGCCATTTTCAGTATAATGTTAAGCTAAATTTTAAAAAAAATCAAAGATTTTTGCAAAAATAATTATGAGTAGCAGAATGAACATTGCAATGAGAAGATGTATGCTGTAATAAACTGTGGGAACATGCAAAGAAGTTGAGGCAAAGGGAAGTTTTTAATGACAAATGGGAACTGCATGAGATATTTTGAAACAATAATTCTTAGCCATAGTGATTACCAAGAAAGGTGTTAGGTTTCAGAAAGTTAGGTTTCAGAAAGCCAAAAGTTACTTGTCATTTCTAGACTGAAATTCTCATTTTTGGGGAGGAAAAAAATGAGATTGCGCACAACTTCAAACAAAATTAACTGACAATTTTAGAATTGATTATTAGTAGTTGTGTTGAAATGACAAAACTGACTCCATTTTGTTCTCGCTGACTTTTCCTTTACCCCATTTTTTTTGGCCAGCCATTTGCACTGCCTCCAGCCAGCCATGAAGGACACATCCATAGTTTCATGGGGTACATTGTTTCTACAATACTGGGAAACTTGCAACTAGCCCAGTGGCCCATCCAAGTAGAATGTTGTCCTCTTACCCAGCTATTCCTGCATCTTCATGGAGCCCATTGTCTCTGCAATTCTGAGAAAAAAAAAATTTTTTTCCTAACCAAAACTTTTTGTTAACTGAAAAACTGTTTGCTAACTGACCTGACCCTTGTCTGATGTAACTATGGTGATCTAATGTTACTATGGTTATTATCTTTGCCCCTGGCATGATGTAATTATGGTTTTAGGCTTTATAAACCTCACTCTGCCTTCCCTTGGGGTCAAGTTCTTTTGGGTGTTAGCCCCCTCTCTGCCAATTAATGAAGGACTCCTAATTCAGCCATCACTATGTGGCATTCTTCTGTGCCTCTTGCTTGGTATTACAATATGACTTAGGCAATGGTGTATGAGTTTTAAAACAGAAACTTTAAATGCAAATGTCAGGTTATTCTCATACTATTGTGCTGCCTGTCAAGAGAAAGGTATTTTCCAGATAAGATTTTAGAATAAGAAAATATGTGGAGGGCAGGATGTGGTGGTTACCTTTAATCCCAGTACTTGGACTCAGAGGCAGGTAGATCTCTGTGAGATAGAGGTCGGCCTAGTTTACATAGCAAGTTCCAGACCAATCGGGGCTGCCTGGAGACCTCTCAAAAAACAACAAAAAGAAAAGAAAATACCTGAACAGACCACAAACTGACTTCCCCTGGAGCAGAACTTCAGCAATTGTCAGAGTTATTGCTATGCAGTT